CAACAACAGACCTTAGTTGTTGAAGTGTAGTAATACATTATAACATCAACAACAGACCTTAGTTATTTGTAGTGCAGTAATACATTATAACATCAACAACAGACCGTAATTGTTGTAGTGTAGTAATACATTTATAACATCAACAACGAACCTTAGTTGTTGTAGTGTAGTAATACATTATAACATCAACAACAGACCTTAGTGATTGGAGGGCAATAATACATTATAACATCAACAACAGACCTTAGTTGGTGTAGTGTAGTAATACATTATAACATCAACAACAGACCTTGGATTGATGAAGTGTAGTAATACATTATAACATCAACAACAGACCTTAGTTGTTTGTAGTGTAATGGCTATTATAACATCAACAACAGACCGTAGTTATTTGTAGTGTAGTAATACATTATAACATCAACAACAGACGCCAGATGTTGAAGTGTATTGTCATTATATCAACAACAGACCTCAGTTGATGAAGTGTATTAATACATTTATAACATCAACAACAGACTATAGTTATTTGTAGTGTAGTAATACATTATAACATCAACAACAGATATGAATTGTTTGAAGTGTAGTAATACATTATAGCATCAACAGGCCTCCAGTTGATGAAGTGTAGTAATACATTATAACATCAACAACAGATATGGATTGTTAGCAGAGTGTAGTAATACATTATAACATCAACAACAGACCGTAGTTGTTATAGTGTATAATACATTATAACATCAACATCTGACCTTGAGAGCGTCGTGGTAAACTTGCACTGGCCGGGGCTGGAGGCTGGACGGGTACACGGGTGATGTCAACTGAAACGGCTCCATTGTGATAGGTTTGGGAGGCCTGAGGTTCGTCATTAGTGGTGGTGGTGGTGGTGATGATGATGGTGATGATGGTGAGGTACAGGTGTGGGGGTGAAGACAGGGGTGGTGAGGTACAGGTGTGGGGGGTGAAGACAGGGGTGGTGGTACAGGTGTGGGGGGGTGAAGGAGGTGGTGAGGGTACAGGTGTGGGGTGAAGGGAGGTGGTGAGGTGTACAGGTGTGGGGTGAAGAGAGGTAGTTAGGTACAGGTGTGGGGGGTTGAAGACAGGGTGGTGAGGTACAGGTGTGGGGGTTGAGACGGGGTTGGTGAGGTACAGGTGTGGGGTGAAGACAGGGGTGGTGAGGTACAGGTGTGGGGTGAAGGAGGAGGTGAGTGAGGTACAGGTGTGGGGGTGTGAAGACAGGGGTGGTGAGGGTACAGGTGTGGGGGGTGAGGGAGGTGGTGGGGTACAGGTGTGGGGGTGAAGGAGGAGGTAGTGAGGGTACAGGTGTGGGGTGGAGGGAGTAGTGGGTACAGGTGTGGGGGTGAAGACGGGGGTGGTGAGGTACAGGTGTGGGGTGAGAGACGGGGTGGTGGGGTACAGGTGTGGGGGTGAGGGAGGTGAGTGGGGTACAGGTGTGGGGTGAAGGAGGAGGTGGTGGGTACAGGTGTGGGGGGGTGAGAGACGGGGTGGTGAGGTACAGGTGTGGGGGTGAGGAGCAGGGGTGGTGGGATGCAAGGTGTGTGGGGGTGAAGGAGGATAGTTGGGTACAGGTGTGGGGTGAAGGAGGGAGGTAGTGAGGGGTACAGGTGTGGGGTGAGAGGAGGAGGAGGTAGTGAGGTACAGGTGTGGGTGTAGTGAGGTACGGGTGTGGGGTGAAGGAGGAGGTAGTGAGGTACAGGTGTGGGGTGGGAGGAGGTAGTAAGGTGGGTGGGGTGAAGGAGGAGGTAGTTAGGTACAGGTGTGGGGTGAAGGGAGGTGGTGAGTACAGGTGTGTGGGGTGTGAAGGAGGAGGTGGTGAGGTACAGGTTGTGGGGTGAAGGAGGAGGTGGGTGAGGCACAGGTGTGGGGGTGAAGGAGGAGGTGGTGGGGTACAGGTGTGGGGTGGAAGGAGGGAGGTAGTTAGGTACAGGTGTGGGGGTGAGACAGGGTGGTGAGGTACAGGTGTGGGGGGTGAGAGACGGGGTGGTGAGGTACATGTGTGTGGGGTGGAGGAGGGAGGTAGTAGGTACAGGGTGTGTGGGGTGAAGGAGGAGGTGAGTGAGGTACAGGTGTGGGGGTGAAGGGAGGAGGTGGTGGGGTACAGGTGTGGGGGTGAAGGGAGGAGGTGGTGAGGGTACAGGTGTGGGTGAAGGAGGAGGTGGTGAGGAGGTACAGGTGTGGGGTGAAGGACCTATACTCAGATGACAACAGAGTCAGGGGTGAGTCAGCAACACCAGCACCAACAAGTTCTTTCACCTAAGTCCAGGTTATGGAAGCTGGGATCATTTCTCTCATAACTCCACACCCACAACACACACACCTGGTGATGATAACAAATGATCTTCGAATATAAACAACAACTACTAATAAATAACAAAGCCACGTCTCTCTGCAACTATGTCATGAGTGAAGGATTTGTTCCACCAAGGAGCGTTTGAAGGCTAGGATATACAGTACGTGAGGCTGTTAGGTAAGTAAAGTATAATATATGTGTGGAGAAACAATGCCGCTTTGATGTGTCTACAGGTCTGTTGTTGATGTTATAATGTATTACTGCTTCAACAACTAGTGCTTTAACTCCTTTGTTCAGAGGTCTCTGTACTGAATAAATTCGTCTGGCTTTTTAACTGAATACAATATTAATCACGGCATCCAATAGTGAAGGCGTTAGAGGTGATAGTTTACTAAACATATATTCTAGATCAGTAGATACACTAGTTATTAACTACTTGCTTGATGGTAGAATTGGGTCCATCACACGGTTCTCTTCTCTATGTCTCGTTGTACACAGCTCTGTCTCTCAGGCAGATAATTGTTGGGACTATAGTGTTATTGCCAGTCTTGTTTTATACCCTTAAAAATTTAGTTATTTAAGCGTTGTAATAATCTTATACAAGTATTTCGTCAATGGATCACCTGAAGCTTAGGCCCTCAAGGTTATTTCACAAGCATTATACTCTCAGTGGTGTAGTGGTGTAAGTCAAACGCTGTGCTGTACTGTGTAGTGACCAAGTGAACACATTTCCTCGTGTGTTAAGGGCACAGATTCTCGCCCGAGCACTACAAGTTTACCCAGTTATAAAGTGTGATGAATACAGTGTTTTCCGTGTACAGAGACTTAGTGTTGAGTCTCACGGGGCGTCAGGCTAATGTGGCTCATATTTCACCAACAGTGTTTGAAGTAACTCAACATCTTTATTCCGCAAGGTTGAGAATAAATAGCAACCTAATTTAAGTTTAGTTATGTAATGATAGTGAATGAAGTCTTGACTGACACCTGTGTTACCATGTATGAACTAATTTACATAAAGTTATAACAATAAAACCAAAAAGTTTGCAATAGCAAAATGTCCTAGTGCGTCTTCACCACCTGACGATTATCCTGTGTGTGTGTGTGTGTGTGTGTGTGTGTGTGTGTGTGTGTGTGTGTGTGTGTGTGTGTGTGTGTGTGTGTGTGTGTGTGTGTGTGTGTGTGTGTGTGTGTGTGTGTGTGTGTGTGTGTGTGTGTGTGTGTGTGTGTGTGTGTGTGTGTGTGTGTGTGTGTGTGTTGTGTGTGTGTGTGTGTGTGTGTGTGTGTGTGTGTGTGTGTGTGTGTGTGTGTGTGTGTGTGTGTGTGTGTGTGTGTGTGTGTGTGTGTGTGTGTGTGTGTGTGTGTGTGTGTTGTGTGTGTGTGTGTGTGTGTGTGTGTGTGTGTGTCTTCACCATCAGAAGGTGTAATATGAGGAGACAGGAAGCAGGACTATGGTCACGTACATGAAAACAACTACGATTCCCAGCACACTGTATGTGTGTGTGTGTGTATATGTTCCAACACACACACACAAAGAAAGACCACGTGTGTATACTTGTTCTGACTTATACATCCACACACACAAAACAATTTCACTAAAGATTACGCAAGAAAACACAATGGTTTAGTTGTACTTGATTAACAACTCATAATTGTTTGTTCTTCAGTTCGTTGTGTTTTGTTGTTTTTGAGGTTGTAAAGCTATGTGAGTTGTGTTGTTATGTAGGGTTATAGTTATGTCGTAAGAAGACTCCTCCTGTGTTATTCCTTCTCTCACCACCAACATTTACCACCTCTTCCCTCCTTTCCTTCCTTCACTCACTCCAACACACCACCACCACCACCACTACCTCCACCAGTAACCATCTTCCTCCTTCCTCCTCCCTCCAACACTCACCACTACCACTCATTTCACCTAACCATCTCCAACACTCCTCCCTCACGCACCACCACATCCAGCACTTCTCTCTCTACACTTCATCACACCACCACTATCTTCACTATTCATCTCCTCAGCATCAGTATGATGAACCATATGAGAACGTTGTTCACGGTGTGGCCAGACTGTGTACCAGGACCGATGGGCCACCAAGGACTTTAGCTTCTTCCACACTGGTTGCTTCAGTGCCAGGTCTGCACCCGCCACCTCAAGACTGCAACAACCAGGACGACCAGGTGAGTAGAGAGAGAGAGAGAGAGAGGGAGGAGAGAGAGAGAGAGAGAGAGAGGTGGCAAGTCTGATCAACAATATTCACACGACGCAACACCTGACCTGATGTACTGTATTCAGTGTAAGACCCTGTTGTAGAGGTTGGGTGAGGAGAGGGGGGGAATGGGGGGCTGGGGGAAGGATCTGAAGTATTGAGGTGAGGGAGGTGGAGGAGGAGTACCTGTCTCGTTTTTCTCATTTTAGTGTTCCCCCCCACCACATTATCTTAATGCCTGGCTCACTGACACAGCGAGAGTTAGGTAGATGGGTTGGAGGGGAGAGAGAGAGAGAGAGAGAGAGAGAGAGAGAGATGCTTGGGTGAAGGATGGATGAATAATCTGTATACACACAATGTAGAGTACTGTGTGAACATTATGAGACCACAGATGATAGTTATTGTGGCATGTATTTACTTTTGGTATATAGTTTAATATAAGTATCCAATGTGTATTTATTTTTCTTGCGTATTTTGATTATGTTGTTCGGTTACCAAATGTAGTGGTGAAGCTGCACAGAGCCACGCATATCACCTCCGGACATGAGTTGTTTGTAGCATTTGGGGAAGTCATCAGACCTATCAGCAATACGTAACTGAAACGAAGCACTGAA